TCAAGTTTAAATGTGAAAGGGAAAAGGAAGCACCTCAATTTGTCACCTGCATTTTCAGCATAAATTGTACTGCTGCTCTGTAGTATGGTTTTTCAGGCAAACATGTGCTTCAGGAACCCAGATCAGTAGCCATGTTTCACTTTGAAAAGTCTTGAACAAAAACATTTTTACTTATTTTTAATTAAGTAACATCTGAATAAGCAACCTCATTTGCACAGCTTGAACTCTCATGGGAGAAAAGCTTGTATTACCGAAAAAAAAATGCATTGGGTTGTATTAGACTCTGTTTGTTGTCTTCTAGCTTAAGATGTGAAAACCTCTCTCCTTGCACAAGCTCTAAAACCGTGCTTATTGGTAAGACTATTTTTTTAGTTACTTCAGGCAACAAAACATATTTGTCTACCTGAACTTTCCAGCCATTTACTCAGAAGCAATTTCAAATCATCGTATCCTTTATTTTTTAATCTTGCCATTCAGTCCTTACAACACAACATATTTACCATTTCAAAATCTTAATTAAAAAATACAGACTATCAAGTCAAATAGCTTCCAGAGTCACACACTGGCTAAGACATGAGGGCAGCAAACTTAATGCTCCCCTCATTTTAAGGTGCAAAGCCTACACTGAAAATCATTTCCTCTTCCATAGTCCAGCCTCTAGCAATCCAGTACATGTCCATAACACAGCTGAACATAAATGCTGGTGCATTCTGCAAGGTCTCAGAGTAGCTCCCACCAGAACACAGGCATAAACTGCCTTCTTCAGCATTCACCACTTCTGAATGCTACTTTCCAGGAGTACAGCTGCCAGTCATGATGACCCTGGGAACGTGGGGCCCACTATCTCTGAGGTGACTCTATATGCCTAAATCCAGCACTGAGTTTCGGCTATCAAGGGCTATAAAGCTCTAGCTAGAAATTTTACTTGAATAATGAAAAGAACCCAAGAATAATATCAACTCACTTTTAGCTTCTGATCAGCCTAATCTACCAGAACTTTTCTTTCCAAATGTTACAGTGCCATCACGCACTTGTTTTACATACCTCTTCATTGATAATTGTAGCATTGCTCAGTGAGCGCAATGCTGAAGTAATTTTTCTTCCAAGATCTGCTAGAACCATTTTGGCGGCTTCAAAGCTACCTCAGAAGAATCTGAAAAATAATTTAAAAAATAGTTTTAAAACTAGCTGAAGCTATGCCTTCACAGAGTGATTATTCGAGTACATTTTGGGTTAAGTAACCTGCTTTGCTCTCCAGAAAGCACAAGTTTGAACTTTTCAAGTATTATTTTTAGCAAACACTGGCCTGAAATTAGTTTTGGATATCCTGATGGCCTACTTGAAAATAGAAATACAATCCTGCAAGAATCATTTCACTGTCTGGTATATTTATGCCTAAAATTCATTGTGAAAAAACAGTCCAGACAGAATTCCAAAACAGAACACTCCTCCTTATTTTCTTACCAGGATGATGTTACATCATAGATTTAAAGCCAAGCCAAAGAGCCAAGAAGCAGTGCATTCTGCAGAGACAATCAGAAGCAGTGCATTCTGCAAGCAGGAGGAAACACTGTTGATCAGTATTAGTGTATCTACCCTATTCTAACTCAAACCAGATTTCCCACGTCAACAGTCCCATAAACATACGTGTATTTTAACTAGCAGAATTCATGCTGTGTTTTTAAACTGTTCTATTGGGAAACCAGACCATTTTCTGTTCATTACAAACAAATCTTACATACAAGCCTAGGGTAACTTGACAGTCAGAAAAAAATAGCTAAAAAGTAATTCTTGAAAGCTACACGTACAAAGTCAACATCTTAACCCACCCTGCCTCTAAATCTTTGGAAAAGGACAAACAAAAATTCTGATAACAAAGCTGCAGCACTCAGTCACTGCAGAAAGTACTGCTCCAGGCTCCTCTTGTTCACCTCCTGATTTTGCAGCTGCTTTCAAACACTCAGCTGAAATACCCCCAGCTCGATACCGAATCCAAACCTCACACCTGCGTTCTTCCTCTCAGACCTAAAAGCAAACTTCCCAATGTGAAACCATGCGTAATCAAAGCAGCTGACAATTTTCACGCTTTTCCCCACCCCTCCCCCCCCATATTCCAGATTCTACAGATAGCTAAGTACAGAAGGCTAATTATTTCCTAACGAACAAATATTTTCACTGCCGAGCCGTCACAGACGCCAAGACCCGCTGTGCCAGAGCGGCCAATCGCCCCGCAGCACGCGGCCGTGCCGCGCTGACGGCATCCGCAGCAGCGGCAAGCTCTGACGCAGCGCCGCGCACCGCCGGCACGGACAGAGGCCCGGCGGCGGACCGCAAGGCTCGGCGGCCGCCGGAGTTCGGGCACTTCGGGAGCCGCGCGGCGGAAGCCGGGCTGGGATTTGAGCCGCAGCCTGAGGAGACGCAGCGCCCGTCCAACCGGCACGAGCCCACCGCAACCCGTCCGCACAGACAGCGGCGGCGTGCCGCTAACGCGCAGCTTCACCCGACACCGAGGCCGGCCGTCCGGCGCGGGCGCTCACCGGCGGGGCGGCGCGGGGCCTGCTGCGGGCGGGCCGGGCCCGGGCCGGGCGGCACTGCGCTGCCTCCGCGCTCCGGCAGCGGCGGCCCGCTCCTACCGACGGGGGACGTCACCACTCGCCTACGCCCTCAGCGCACTTCCGCCGCCGGGGCACGCGCCGGCTGCTCCGCTAAGGCCGCCCGACTGGGCGGCGTACCCGCGCTCGGCAAAAAAGCTCCTCGAGTGCCGTCGCGCCACCTTAAGAGTGGCTGGCGGGCGGGGCCGAAGCGGAATAGCTCTCAAGCGTGCGCAGAGAGGAGGAATCTTCGGCTCGAGCGTGCGCAGAGAGAGGGCTTCTCGGGGTCGCCTTCTGAGCGTGCGCGGCAACGGTCGCAGAGCGGCCGGGCGCGAGGCGGGGCGCCCCCTCGCGGCGGCCGGGCGCGCGGCGATGGAGCTGGAGGCGGCGCGGCGCGCGGTGTTGGCCGCCGTGCGGGGCACGTGCGCCGCCGACCTGCCCCGCCTGCTGCACTGGATGCGTCACAGCAGTAAGCGGCCGGGCGGCGGGAGGCCGAGGGGAGCCGAGCGCCGGCACGAGGGGCCCTGCCCAGCCTGCGCGCGGGGGGCTCGGCGGGGCCCGTTGGGACGGGGGCCGCCGAACGCCCGCGCTCCGCTGCGCTGGGGTCGGTCTTGTCCGGGTGTGACGTCCCAGCGCCTCGGGTTGCGCCTGGAGAGGTTTTATAAACGCGTGGGAAGAGCCAGACACCGGGCGCGAACCCAGCGGTGCTGGGACGGACAGCCGAAGCCTGGCACGGAAACCTGCCGCTGCCGGCACCGCGCGCTGCTCGTTGCCCCGGCCTCCGGCGTGGAGAGGGGCGGGAGGCGCTGCTGCGTCGGGAAGCGCAGCGCGTACCGCGTGAGACCCCGTCCCCCTCCCAGCCCGGGCCGTCGTCCGATAGGAAAGTTTTTGCCGGGTGCTTCAGGGCACGCGCGAGTCACGCTGAGAGCACAGACGGGGAGTCCCCGGGGTTTGATGAAGGCCGGCGTTTGATGGGTCTGATTAGAGTTAACTGTAACCAGACGTTCTTCTGTGCGTGTTTATTCACACATACGCATACACAAATACGTGTCTACGTGTCTCTGCGTGTATAGGTAACATCGGGGCACAGCGAGTCAGTAGCAACTGGTGGGATTCAGGCTAATTCGATTTCCCAGATTGACAGATTTGTGGAGAAATTTAGAGCCTGTGAAATGTGGTCCCTTGCCACTGCCTGCAGAAGCTGCCGGTCTCTGCATCTACTGGTCATGTTGTTTTGGCTAAATTACTATCATTTGCTCATTTTTCTGGATGCAATGTTGAGGTTTTATAGACTGCCTCCTAAAATGTACATGCATGTACACGTGCCTCTGTAGTAGAGGAGAGGGGATTAGAATGCTTTGTGCAAACCTGTAGGAATTTGTCATTGTTAAGACAATTATTGTCCAGATGGTTTTAGTGATTTGTTAGGCCATTAACCTATTCACATTTTTCCACTCTTCACTTTTCATGTATAGCTCTGTCCTTCTGGTTCATCTCTTTCCTTTTTTCTTTCTGAGTGAGCTCAGACTCCAGCAAAGAGCTCTCTTTCTGTTACTGGTTTATGTTCCTTTGTCACTGAGCAGTAAGTAAACAGAGGCATTTATCCAATTTCTGTTCTCTTTCTGTAGTTTTGCCAAAATCACAAATGTTTGGGGTGATGTTCCCAACAAAACACTTTGATGATTCCTCTCTATATGCTGCCTGTTTCTCTGAGCAGCTGTGTCTGCATGCTGACAGTTACCTTCACTGTGGTCTCATCCCCCGCTCCCCTCCCAGCAGCCTAATTGTCGCGTTTGAGTGATCACTGTCCTCATTTGTCCAGGGTAACATGCAGGGAGAGCAGTGACAATTAGTGCTGGTTGGTCAGAGGATTGTGAGGAGATGGGGACTAAGGTTTCTGCTGTTGCATGCTGAACACAACTCAGGAATTTGGAGTTTCTGTATGCCAAGAGAAAACAGTACTGTGAGAGAAGATGAAAAGGTACTGTATTTCTGTACCACACAGTAATATGGGTGAAGGAAAGAAACAAAGAAAAAAAAAAAAGTGGGGATGTAGGGATAGCATTAACAGTAAAAAAACAGTAAAAGTTAGGAAGGCTAGGATAAAAGGAAACACAGATGGTATCCTGACTGATAAGTTGTTTTGGTCTGTGTTTTCCCCCCGCCTCCTGCTGCCAGCTTATTCCCGTTCCTGTCAAGGTGTTGTGCTTACAGTTTTACTTCCAGCTGCGGAAGACGGGGCACAGTTCCAGTGCTAGCTGTGGTCAGGCTTTCTTCTTCTCTCCCAACAGAACGTGCATGTAGCCTCACAAAAGGCTATATGTAAGTGGTTGCCTTTTAGCCATGTTTATTTATTTAACTTAATTGATATTTTCTGATTTCCATGTGGATTAATATTAAAAATATATAAATAAATTTCCAGGAAAGAGCCAAATTATGTTTTAGTGAAACAAATAATATAAAGACCCTTATGTAGATGGAGATAAGAGAACAGTGCTTAAGTTCGCAGTTTAATGATTTCTGATTAATCTTTCTTAGTAATTGTGGGTATGAGAGTATGTGTAAGATGCTATTCCTTTTCTTTGTCCCAATGGAGAACGAAATAACCAGTCATGCTTTTTTTAGTCTTGCAAATTTTAGAAGTTCCAAATCTTTACGTATGATGGAAGAAGACGTTACAGTTTTAAGGCAGCTGCTTAGCAACACAGCTTTGCTGTTTCGCAGTTGGGCAGCCCTTCCCACACACTGCAGTGGGACGTACGTCATTTCATGGTGACTTGCCTTCCAACTTTTCCTTTGAGTTAGTCTTAGATCACAGAGAAAATGAAACAATAGCAGTTGGAAAGTAGAACAGGAACCTTTGGTGTCTTAACTGATTTTTTTTTTTTTTTTTAAATCATAAGATGATTAATGCTTTAATATCCTTCTGCAATAAGCACGTTCCAGAAGTTCTGGCTAAGAAAGCTTGGGTGAAGCCCAAGAGTTAATTCAAACCACTTGGGGAAGCCCCCCTGAAGATCCCACTCAGTTGGTCCCAGCATTTGATGTATAGCTTCTATATAAATGTGTGCATGCACGTATTTCCAATTGTTCTGCTGCTGCCCAAACTCAAAAACATTTTCAATAGCAGGAAGGGTTGCATTTGGTATGAGTGGGTGCTGGAGAAGATAAGCAATGAAAGCAGAGATTGATCAGGCTTCTGTATCTCAACAGAGATGCAAGAATCAAAGTAAGTAGCCCAGGAATGCTAATTTCAAGATTGAAGTCACCTAATCACTTTACTTAGTGGCAACTGTCTGTGGCAAATCTTTGCTGCACTTGAAGCTTTGTTGCAAGTTACCAATGCCTGTCTCTTGATAGATGTCAGTGAAGCACAGATAAGGTGATAAAAAAGACTCTTTGTGGTTTTCAGTGTACTATCATGGGATCTAAGATAAATGGAAGAAAAAAATTTCAGCAGGGCCATAACAGACTAATACTAGCTTTTTCTTTTCAGTTATGTAACAGTGAAGTAAAGCAATCTTACAAGCATTTTCCATTTTATACATTCTGTTATCAGCTTTTCTATTTGAAGCTGAGGATTTCAAAGTGATTTAGAAGGCTGAATTGCCAGTTGTTCATACAGTGCTGTATTATTTGAAACAATAACTGAATAATAAACCATCACAGATCCTCTAAGTTAGGGATAAGTGACGTATAATTAAGTATGATGATATTTTTCTTTTGGATTCACTTGTACTGGGGGTAAACCAGCTTTGTAAGCGAGTGACATAGAATTTAGTTTTGTAACTTGGAAGTTGAGGTCCATCAGTGCTGTAAGCTCAGCCTTTTAGAAGGTGATGAAGGAAGGGTACCTGACAAAATTCACTTAACCAACCATGGTAGATATCTTTCTTTATTATAGTGATCTGCATACAGATAACAACATTTTTCATCATACTCTCAGAAACGGACCACATTTGTCCAGCTTTTATATTATGTAATTCATGGCCGAGGCGTTACTGTGTTCCTAGGCATTCCTAGGTAAAGTTAGCAGATGCTGATTTCTACAAAACAGACATAGAATAAAATAAGGAAAAAACCTCTCTCATAGGGAATGTTGTCTAATGTTTCCTTTCGATACTGTTGTCAGTGCAATTGGAATGAGTTTTTGAAAAGAAAAAAGCATGGGTTTCTATGATGTAACCAAGTGTAAGTGTAGTTTTCTGTGCACGTGAAAAAGCAATTTAGTACAAGGTTTTGTGTCCAAATAGGTAGAAATGATTTATCTGAGTAGAATATCCTTGCAAAAGAGATCAGGTAGCGTTGCAGAGCCACGTTAGCAGGAATGTATTTCTTACAATGATACCATACCAAAAATCTTACTACTCTCTTGTTTGGTAAACCTCTTGTGTGATGAATCACCAATTTTAGGAACTGGCATTAATTTTCTTTGTTACTCTTGGTTGAGACAAATGATACTGCTGTGGGAGAGAGATCTTAAGAATACCAAGTACTTCTAAGTTGCTATCACTGAAACTTAATGAAGGTGGGGAAAGCCTGTGATTGGAAAATGGGTAAGTGAAATGACTAGTTTAAAAATTAACTTTCAAGTGTCTTAGAGTTTATGAACGAGAAGAACTAATAAAATAAGCTCCATTTATATTTCTGCTGGAAAAAAAGCTGGATATTCTTTACCAATAGTTAGCTATATTTAAGGATACAAAAAGCATTTGGAGTTCCTGAGGAAGCAATCTCACTTATTGAGGTCTGAGGTTGGTTCTGACATTGTTAGCCAGAAAGGGGCTAGTAATGTCCTAGAGATGTGGGACTTCCTCTTTGACCTGTTTGTCCAGTATCATAAAAGCACACTGCACAACTGAATTAGCTTTGTATCAAATAACATGGGTGGTAGTATTCGCTTTTTACATGTCTGAGGCTGAATATATATCTAGAAAACCATAAGGTGCTGGCTGTTACAGTTGTTTTGCTAAATCCTTGTATTTCCACATGAAGTCATCTTCTGATATCAGTACACAAGACCTGGATCTGAAGATGTTAGTGTAGCAATCCTTTCTATACTGCGTGAGGTTTTGTGGTGTTTTCTTAGCATGTCTTGTATTTTCTGTAGAAAGATTGAGCAGCACCAGGGTGTTAATTAGAGTTTTTGCAATGTGTTGATTAAATGTTAGAAGTATGTGTTGAGTAGATCCAGTGAAACCGGTTTTTGAAGTAAAATACAAACACTCTTGCATTCAGACTTCCTCCATAAACAAATGATTGTGATTCATCTTGCAGCACTTCATGAACTGTGTGCTTCTTTCCTGGTTAGCTGTCTGCTCTATGAAAACCGGGTTTGCAGACTGCATTTCATATATTCAACAGGCACTAAAATGATAGCAAAAATAGTTTTCTATTTTAGTTTCTTCTTTGAAGATCCTCGTAAGTTGATATGGAATTTCTCAAGAGTGAACGATTTGTTAAACACCAGGGTGGAGTTGATAAAACTGTACCAGACTGAGGCAGAAATACATATTTTCATATGTGGCACCTGCATTCTCTACTTGATGGCAATCTGAATGTTTACATACTGCCAAAGCAATTGAGGCATTGTGGGAGCTGCTGCTGTTCTTGCTTTGACAAGAATGGTGTGACTCGGAGCCTGCATTTAGTCATGGGGTAAGCATGCAAGTGCAGAGCATGCCTTGTGCAGCTCCTGCTGTTTTGTTGTCCTTGGAGGAATGTATTCTAACTTCCTTCTCTTCTCTGCAATACTGACAGTCGGTAAGAAGTACTTCCAATGGCCATTTAGTTTTCTGTATTAACATTTCACTTTCTTCATTTGAGCTGCTCAGATGTTTTAAGATTTTTGGTAGGTTCATACAGATCATCCACAAGAACTGTTGTACATTGTCATGTTTCCTACGAGAAGCTCAGAGGGCCCCGTATAGAAGTTCATTGTTGTGACAAGTGTTGTACAGATGGTAGTCCCAGCAGGAAGGACAGTCAGGATTTGAGGAAGGGGAGCATGCTGCCATCTTCCACTGACAGTGCCATCTTACTGCAGCAGAGACAGGACATGCCATGCAGCCTGTAGGACCATTCCTGCCGCCCTTGGCCAGGAGAGGTCCCTCAGGGTGTGAGGGAGCAGGCCTTAGCTCATCAGTTCTGCAAAGAATGGAGCTAAGTTGTGCTCTTGCCATGTGATATGGCTGGCACGGTGGTCTACAAACTCTTCCTGCATTTCATTAAACTCTCTATATATGAATTTGATACTCTTAACAGCTGGATGAGGTCTCTTGCATAGTAATAGTATTGTTGTAAAGCATCTGCCAGATGTAGGGGCTTATTGCCCCCAGACACCAGTCTGTACAGCTGCTAATATCAGCTTTCTGCTCTCTTTCTGTCCATGTCACTACTTTTCTTCTTGCTTCTTCAAATGTTTTCCACCTCTGCAGACTCAGCTTTCTAAAGGTCTGTCCTAGTGCCCATGGACCCATTCCTACATTATTTATTAAGATTTCTCCTACCTTAACATTATCGGATTTAAGCAACAATTAGTTTGTCCACTTTCCCAAATTTCTGGGTTTACTTCTGTGCATCCGTAGAAGCCTTCTGTAAGCTGATCAGAAAAGTCACTGCTTCTGGAATGATCCTAAAGAATCTGGAAATGCTGAGCAAACTCTGGGACTCACTGAGATGGGTGCTTATTAGAGGTTTCATGTTAAAACGCTGACAGGCAAGAACTGCTGCTTTGCACCTGTTGTGTTGTTCGTGCTGCTTCATCTGCAGCTGCCTCCTCTGTCCCGCCCAGTTCCTCTTAGCAAAGTTTGCATCTTCTGGGGAGCTGAGGTTTTGGAGGACAAATCTACAAACTGCTTCAAATGGCAGATTGTCTTCTAAGGTGTACCATGCCCATCAGGGCTTTGGTATGTTACTGCCGTACATTTGTGAATAGCAAACTAAATAGATTTTAATACTGTGGGGAATTTAGGATTATCTCTTGGTGTCAGTACTGGAAGAACCATTTACAGTTGTACCTTCAAAGAAGAGAGTGCTTTGCATTGATGAGTGATGGTTTCTTTAATAGTGTTCTTCAGACTACAGGGCTTAAGCAAAAAGCATTTCAGTAGCATTTAATACTTAAAAGTGTAGCTGGTCTCCAGATCCTACCTATATTAACCTTAAATTTTCTCACTGTTTCTGGCATTGCTTGTGCTTCAGAAGAGAGATTGCTTGTGCTGGCACAAAACTATGATATGTTTCATAGATTTATTTTGAACCTGCTTGCTGTCAACCTTGCTCATACAAATGTTCCACCTGAGACAGTACTGCTAACAAACATTAACTTTTTTATTAACACTTTAAAAAGCTGCCAGATGTTTTGGTGAGTGAAACATGTACATGTGAAAATCACAGTCTGTACCCTTAGTGACATTCTAAATAGAGCAGGAGGCAAACCAGAAGGAAGGGGGATCAGGACAAATGTGTTAAGAAATCAAGATGGAGTGACTGTGTTTTTTAGGGTTACATTTGTGGTTGGTTTTTGTTTTGTGGTTTTTGTTTCTTTTACACATATGTAGTATTGACCTGATGCGTGCTTTTGTTTAGAACCAGTTCAGTGTCTTCTGAGCCTATCCAGGCAAAAGGAATTTCACATAGTCCTTCTTTTGAGGAAAACATAACAGAAAAGGAACAACACAGGTGTACAGCAGATCTCAAGCTAAATGTCAGATAGGGGGCTGACACGAGACTAAGGTATGTAAGCAGGATGTTGTCTGCAAGGTGTGAAAAGTCTGGTTGACGCAAATAAACATTTAGCTAGATAAAGGGGTTTAGTTCTGAATGCTGCAGGTCATAAAGGATGAAAGAATCCAGAGGTTCCAAAGGGGATTGATGAGAATGATCAGACTCAAGGGAGAATGAAAGAAAGGACTGAAGAAGTAGATCTTGTTTCTTCTGGAAAAGCGAAGGCTGGGGGGATGTGATGAGTCTTCAAAGAAATATACAAGAAAAAAATAGATTTCTCTATTTCCGTTGTAAATGAAACGTTTTCATTTACAGTTTCAGTTGTGGCAGAGAAATTTAGATTAATTACTAAGAAAAGTACTTAATTCTAATGGTAATAAGTGTAGTCGAGCACTGGAATGGGTTGATAAGGAAGATTGTAGATTGATAAGGGAGATTGTAGATTCTCCAGCATCCAAAAAATATTTATTTATTTACTTAGACAATAGTTTGGAGAAGTATTGGTACTCAGAATTGACTCTGCCTTGGAAGAAGAAGGGTTGAAGAGTTGGTAACTTTTGAAGGTTCCTTCCAGGTCCTTTTTCTAACTGCCTAACTGAAAAAAAAAAAAAAAAAGTGTTGAAAGAATGCAGGAATATCTTGGAAAAATAGCAAGAATTTACAGTGTGGCTTTGCAAAAATTTACTGGTTTATATCTACTCCTATTTTCTTTCACATTTGAAATATTTTGATAGTTTTAGTCACATAAAGTCTAAGTTGAACTGTTGAACTATGCATTATCCCTGGTTGGTTTTTTTGTAACTAACTTTATTAGAAAGATTGGAATGTATAAAGAGAAACTTTTATAAAAAAAAAACCAAAAACAAATCAAAAAACAAAACTATGTGTGTTCAGGCAACTGTGAGTTTTGTAATTTCTCCAATAGTTCAAAAACATCTTTGATGTTTTTATATCTTAAGCTGAACCAGTATCACTTTAGTGGCAGTCCAGACCATCATATGTGAGTTATAAGTGTATAAATATGAAAATAATTTGAGATTTCAAAAAAGTGATACGTTTATTTTCAGTATTATTACAACCTAAATCTGTCATTGGCTGGGAAAACTAACAAAGGCTGAAAAATGCATTTCAAATAAAAACCTTATCCATCTGGTATTGTTTATGTCTTGCAACTATATTGTATTGGTCATCACTTAGTCCACATGATCTACATATGATTGTTCAGAGTTTTTTGTTTGTTTTGATTTATAGGTGACTTTGATGAGTTTGTGATGACGAACAATGATGTTGTACTCAAAAATATCGCTGAAGATTTGCGGAATCATTTACCCATTGAGGCAATATTTAATTCGGAACATCTAGCTATCCAGAAAGTAAGCTAATCATTATGGTCTCCTTTTGCTGAACCATGCATTTATTTGGGGCTATGCAGTTTTACTAGCTGCTCATAGCAGAGAATGAGCATTGGATTGAGATATGGGTAATTGCAGTTTGGTTCTCAGGTCTGTTTTTGTGTAACTGTGTGACCTCAAGGAATTTGCTTCATACTTCTTAAAACTTTCATCATAAATTATTTGGCACAGCTTTTATTCTTTGTGGTATGCTACCTGTCATAGTGATTCTTTAATACTAGCTCCATAATAGATTCTAACAGCCCCCTGAAAGACAATAGAAATACAGGGCCAGTGCTCTGCCTTTGCCATAATGTGGGCAGCCCAGAAGCGGTTTCCAGTTCTTTTCAAGTTGTGATGGCTCAGAAAGAGGTAGGCTGTGAGCCCTGTGGGAAGGGAGAACATCTCTTCTACTTGTGTTGTTAGAATAGCTGGAAAGTGAATGCATTTCCTGAAAATGTTGTGTGGCTTTTAAATGGAAAAAAAAAAAAAAAAAGGATTGGCCACTCTATGAAAGGGAGGAAAGGAACAGGAGGATAAAAATTATACCCCTAGAAATGATGAGAAAGCAAGCACCCCAACTGCTATTCTTCTGACTGGAAGTTACACTTGTGTAAATTGGGTGTGTCTAGATTCAGGCATAAGGCATCAAGATGAGACTACCTGGATGGCTGAGATGAGAAGCAAAATTGCCCTTTCTTAGTATATATTCTCCTCTTGTGAAAGAGAAGAAGCTTCTGTTAATTTGTACCTCCTCTATTGCCAACCATTTCTAAGAAGACAAAGTTAACAGCAGCTCTCCTACTCAGCTGTCAAAACCTGCAGCTTTCATTTCTTTGTCAGCTTCCACCTACTGGTTATTTCAGTGAAATTTGATGATCCAGTTTTCATGCGAGATTTCTGTGGTTTAATTTTGATTTGTTACTTCTGAATAAGGAAACACTTGGCCTCAGGGATTTTGGTAAAGGTAGACCAGTGAAGTTAAGAAATATGGTTACGCCTTTCTTACGTTTTCTTCCTTTTCTCAGATACATCAACATCCACTGCCCATGGTTCATGTTGATGCGTTCCTTTATGATGATGACTTTGTTGATACAATGTGTGAGGAGGGGAGAATGAGTAGGAACTACTGCACAGAGTGTGGCTCATACAAGACTGCATCTTTAGGTAAGTGCTCTTCTGGAAACATGAGAAGTGAATTCTGTTTCAGCTATACATACTGGTTTGTGCAATGACTCAGCTGGGCAGCACAACATCCATCTGATGGAAGACTGGTGCAGTACACAGGCCAGTATTATTTCCCATAACCAGTAGAAGAAGTCTCCTGTATGTGTAAGTCCATGCAATTTGCTGTGAATCAGTGACCCTAGTTGCCCACAAAAACTGGATCAGGCTATGTACCGCTGAAAAGGTATATATACAAACAATACTGTAGCAGCCCATGCAGTAGCCTCAGTCTTCTCTTGCACACTGAAAAACAGTGGAGAGCACCATCTGTCTTAAAGCTTGTGTTGCGTGGTACAGATCAGGCACTGAAGAAGGAATAGCTTATATGGAGAACATTCTGTTCCTTACAGCCTTAGAGCTGAATTTTAAGCTATTAATATGTCTGTTCCTAAAAAGATTTGTATGAATTGTGTTGAGTTTTAGGTACCATGTTTCCTTTTCTACATCAGTGATTCCAAGTTATTGTAATTTGTTTTGTTTAATACGTGTCAATGTGCAGGAAAAGGTAATTCAGTTTAATGAAGGATTTAAAAATTCTCCATGTAAAGGAATAAATCCCTGGACTCAGGGCAGTCTGCTGACAGGCTGGATCAGATCTGTAATCCCTGGTTCTCCTGGGTCCCCTGCACTAGTTGAGGAAGGAAAGCAAATGGGTTTTCAGTGATGGTAACTCCTCAGATTTGTATTTTATTGGTTACTAACACAGTAGTTAGTACTGCCCACCCAACACCTTTGTTCTGTTCTTATTTCCCAGAGTTTATTTCGCATTCCTTTTCCCTCATGGAACTGAAGTTTCTTTATCAACATGTACTGCCTGACCTGACAGGAAAGGTAGTGGTTGACGTTGGCTCCAGGCTTGGTGCAGTGCTATTTGCGGTAACTTCCAGCACAGGATTTTATATTTTATTACTGTAACAAACATATTCCTTCTTCTCTGACTTCCTATTCTCATTACTCAATCTTGGACAGGTCATTCTGAACAGCATCTATGATCTGGCTGAATAGAGTATGGTGCTGCTTCATAGTGATCTTAGTTTTTGCTCTTTCCTTGCAAAAGAGAATACCAGTGATCTTGCTTTTGGAGCAGAAAAGTCTGTTGTCCAACACAGCAACATATTGCTGTCACACATACTGCTCTTTTGCTAATTCCTGCTCTTCTCCTCCTCCATAAGTGAGTTTGTCCCATATGTCTTGACCATATCTATATATAGATCAGATATGTTAAATTCCTTTATGAATCTGACAAACCGTTGAATTATACAAAGGAAGGCTTTGATATGAATTTGTCTTCAAAAACATATTGTCCTGCTCTGTGTTTTAAAATGCACATAAAATACTTCATCGAGAAATTTGAGTGCAATTTTGATTGCTTTTGGCATGGCTGGTGCAACATATGGCCAACAGCAACGCAAAACACACATTACAACTTTCTTACAAAAGTCAATGGCTGTTTAGGGCTCAATCTTGGAAACGCTTGAGCATGTAATTTTACTCATCTGAATAATCTAATTTTGGGATTACTCAAATGAGAAAAGTTACTCCCTTTTGTAAATATTTGCAGCATTGGGTCCTTTAGTGATAACACTTTTGCTAGCTGCTGAATTTCTTTTGAAGTACTTAAATGGTTGTATTGTTATAGTAGAAGATAGTCTCAAGAAAAAGCAGGAAGAATGTTTTGCAAGAAGAGTTCTACTTTTTATCATGTTTAGAAATGATAACTTTGCCTTCACAGGTTGCTGTCACTGAGTTGAATGAGTTCAGAAAACATTAATAATTAGATTGCAGTATATAGTCATCTTGAACTTTCTGTATCTTCAGACTGTTTGCTGGTGTTCCCCATTGTTTGCAAAGTGTTCTATGGAAACAGTGGCAAATAGAAGTTAAAGCAGTATCTCCATTAGGGCACTACAGGCTCAAGTGTTTTTGTTCTAGGTTTTTTTGTGTGTGTTTTGTTTTATTTTTTACATCTCTTACAAATTTCTAAAATCTCAGTCCGAAATAGAACCACTGAAGTATTTTAGGCTTATCATTTATAATTTCTCATTTTTTTTCATATGCATCTCTGTAAAGCACCTGAAAATGGCAGTAATACACTATTTAGAGGTGCTGACAAAGACTGTCCCAAAATAGCCCATTATATTATGAGTAAGATTGTCCTCCGTCTTCACTCACATTAACTGTCCTAGCTGTTTTTTCTTCTCTTGCTGTATTTATTTTCTTCTTCCATTCTCACAAGAAAAAAAAAAAAAGTGCAATCTTTCCCCTTCTTGCTATTTTTATAATTTGGTTTCTACTGCTTTTTTCCATCCTAGGCCTTTTTCCATCTACTTTGCAATTGAAGTAAAGTTGAAGATTTCCTATGCTTTTTATTATTTTGACCTGTTGTTTTGGATCTCTTATTAAAAAATTTGTGAGACATAAGTGGAAATTGTCAAAACGGGCCTAGCTTTGAAAAATATATCACATCCACTGTAAGGCACATCTTAGCTTCTTTTTTTTTATTAAATATTTTCTTAATATTTACTTTTGCTGGCTTGTTTTTTTGGGTTGTTTTTTTTTTTTTCATTTCAACTCAAATATTTGAAGTTGTTTTAAAGGCATCACGGTTACTAAACTTCCTTTTCCTAATGTAGGGTTATCTTTATAGCTCAGCATCCCAACTGTATGGAGTAGAAATGAATGCAGACTTTTGCCAGTTGCAAGAAATGACAATTACAAAATACCAGTTCATTGACAGAATAAAGGTAACTAAATATATGGCTAAGTGTGTATATTTTTAACCACTGTATAGTAGGTATCCTGTTTGCAAGAGCAACTGGTAAACTGGCATTCTGAAAAATTTTTTCTGCCTTTGCTTGCTTTGGTCTTAAGCAAAGGGTTTGTATTGGAAAAAAAATCTCAGTGTGGAAAGAAAGAGGAAGCTTTCCAAAATATGATAATGTAATGTATCTGCCCAAATGGACTTACCTGGCTCATGCGAAACAGATACATCTTAGCTGTTTCTCCCAGTGAAGTGAACAACAGCATTGCCACTAACTTCCTTGAAACTGAGTGAATGAGAGTTTCTGTCTTGAATAAGAAAATGAAATGTCTGTGCATTTCATTAACACTAGTGGAAGGATTTGTAAATTTGCATCTAAGAATACCTAAAGGACTTTTGGCTATTGGAATTTGTTTTCGTGGCATGTCAGTGCATGTGTACTTTCCACAAACAAAATGAGTTTCAAACAATATGATATCATTATGGGAATTGTTTCTCAACTCCTATTATGGAAATAACTAGTACTATTATTTTAATGAAAAAATATTTGTTTGGTTCTTTTTCCCTTCTTGGGGAATACCGGTTGTTTTGTTTCCAGCAAAAATTGGTAAGTACAATATGCTGTATAAAATACTGACTTTAATCCTGTGTTACATGCATACGCTCTTGAGTGGAGTTGCAAAAACCACTGGGTGCAGTTATTTCTTGGAAATTAAAGTAACTGATTTTGAACCGTAAAGAAATAATAAATGTACATAAATATAACTCCAGTTAAGCAGTGTCATTGGGTTGCCCAGTTCAGTACCAACTGCTGACAGTTTATCCGTAACCTTCAGTTTTTGCATGTATTTTGTACTCGTTTGTGATGAGACTGAAGTCGCAGTTAGAACTTTGTCAAGTTACTTCAGTGGAACTGGAGATGCATATATTTGCTTTTCAGCCTTTTATGTACCATATTATAAGACTTTGTTTTTCCTTCACACCTTTTAATTCTGCTGATGTATTCATTTCAGAGGATAAAGATAAGAAGATATTATGTTTTCAAAGCAAAGCCTGAGGACTTTAGTATTTGAATTTCATTAGATGCTAATTTAATCACATGACTTCTGTTATCACCCTGCTTTGAATATCTCATTCTTAGATTTTTATTTTACTTCTCTAGAGATACATACTAGCTTAAAAAAGTCAGAATCCAGCTGCTGATAATAATGTATGGCACAGATTTTGAAGAGACCTTTCTTAAATAACAACTGTGTTTCAGGATTTGCTGAATTTTCATTAGAACATTTTCCCAAAGGACAGAAGGGTGGAATCCTGATCAACATTTGATTTGTTAAAGTATATAGAAAGTTGCTCAGTGTCTTTTGATGTCTGAGCAAATGTTTAGATGCTGGAAGGAAAATAAAATAGTTCAACAGATTTAAAATCAGTTGCTGTCCTCTCTGTTGTGCCAACATATAACCAAGCTGAACAGAAATCAGGTACAGCTGACTTAGAACCCATTGTTTCAGCTGGAGTGGTGTCTGGGCCTGGCTTGTATGCAACCATGTATGCTCTTGTGGTCCTGCTTTCCCCAGTAGGAGCAAGGGTGAGTTTAACAAGAATGGGCTGCAAAGGTCAGTTTAATCAGCACAGTCACCTGTTCTGTAAAAGCAGTCTAATTTTAATTTAAGGTCTAAGCATTTTTGAAGTAAATAAGGCATCAGCCAACATACGTTTAAAATTTCCTGGTAGCTTATTTTTCTGAATGAAGGCTAAAAATACTAGGACTGCCATTAGCAGGACATGTAGAAAATTCAGTAGTAGTGTGATGTCTTGTGCCACTTATATATGTGATCTTTTCCTCCTTCAAGCTGTCATTTTCAAAAATTCCTTTGGGAACAGTCCATCAGTCACTTGAGTTTGAATTAAGCACTGCTGCTCAGGTATTCTGTACAGAAATGTGCCGGTTTTGTTACTTTCTCCCCTTGAAAATAAGAGAATAAATTAAAATGTCTCCTTTGCCTTGAAATTTTGACCTGAATCCCACTTACAGCATAGATGCAGTAATAAATTATGGAGGAATCCAAGTGCTGATACATGAGTTCCAGCAGATCTAGCTGAGGCAAGTTTTGTCCTTTGCTGTTTGTCCTGCCCTACTGCAGGAAGCTGTAGCCCATGTACTGTTATTTTTATTTATAGTTGGCAGTGGCTTTATGCAGAAGACGTATATTTGCAACTACCTTCTTTAGGACTGCTGATGGCAGCAGGAGTGTCTGTCTTGTTTCTCTTCTGCCTGGATGTTTGAACTTCTTTTTGATCAGATCCTTTGCTGGTGTTATCTATATTATACTATTTTAAGATAAATTATCACAAATATTAATAGTCTTAAAATATTCCATATATTATGAACTAACGGATATGTAGTTCAGTTATACACACACTGGAGATGAAAGTTGTCATTTGACTGATAACTCAGGTGTCCATATTTCTCAGTGAAATACAGCCTTCAAACACTAACCTGCCAATTCTGTATAAACTATAAGAACACAGTTACTTCCCTTCCACTCATTACAGGTAGCATTAAATTTAAGGAAATGAAGCCGTTGATACCTAATATTTTCTGAACAGTAGACCTTTGTTTCTGCTGTTACTGATCTTAAAACATTTGGCTTTAATTTCAGTTGCAATAATGTACCCTAATAGCATCAGTTGGGGATCATAAGCTGTGACAATTTGTCATCTCATTCCCCACTGGAACTCCTACAGGTTGCAGGGGTGGTAGTATCTGTTTCCTCTGTCAATCAGAACAGCATGCTTTCCATGTTCTTTATGAAGATGCATATGTATCTTACCCTCTCAACAAGTACTGTTATGTGAAGTGGGCAAAATGTTTTTCAACAGATAAATGTTTATTTTCTGTACAAACATTCAGAATCAAGAATTCTTTTTCACATCTTTTGAATATTGGAAGGAATCCACAAAATGTGAAATGTTGAATCCGTAACGTTAATGTATTCCCTGCATAACTCAGTAATAGTTCACACAGAAAAGACCAAGTGTTGATCAGGTTTTCTGTGTTTTCTGTATGATTTTAACATATGTGGATGCACTTTCAAAAATTTTTGTGGAATTCAAGGAGTATTCACATTGGCTTTCTTTCCATTATCCCCTCAAAAGATTTTCTAGCTTATGTTTCTCAGATTTAGAATGTGATGCACTTTTCCATGTTGAAGAGGAAATCAGACACATCTTGTCAGAGTGTTAATGAGCATTCACATTCTCTTGTCACTATAATCTCACCTGTTTGAAAATGACATGACGTACTAATATCCTTTTTGATAGGTGAAGGTAAATGAAATCAAACCAGCTCCTATGCTTACTGGAGAAGTAGTTACTTGGGAAGTTAAAGCACTTGCTGTCTTCCAGTGCCAGCGAGCATTTTGCCTTTCCAGCACTCCCAGTCCCTATATAGGTAATAAGAATTCAATTGTCAAATTTGTCTGTAGTGTTTTTTTCTAGCTATGATCCCTTAGTAAGGCACTGAGCTTGTGAGAGGCCTAGAAATATTCTCAAAAAAGTGTTTATCTAGTTTAACTTAATTTTAAGCATCTACAGTGAGGTCAGTGAAATACACCTTTTTGTAATGGGCTCAAAAAGGTCATAGCATATGTTGTAATATGCTGTTGGTTTTCGTGTTTATTTGAAGGAGGTATTTGTCTTTTAAATTAATTTATGCTCTGTGAATTTTTTCTCCTTCAGGTGGTTCACGCAGACATCTGTACTCAGGCTTCACTTCTTCAGAAGGCTGATGTTGTTATAATGAATAATGTCTTTGAATATTTTCTTGACAGACTGGAACAGGCCAAGTAAGCTATGTGTTCAAAGAAGTAATCTATTTCTTTGGCACTGTATGTGTAACCTTGTTGAAAACCATAAGGTTGTGCTTTTTGAAGTCACTTACATAAATTATGTTTTAAAATGCCTTTACTTAATTGTTTTTCTTAACTGCTAAGATATTACTGCAGTTGTTTGTTGTTAAACTCACTGAATACTGTTCTTTTGTTTACCCAAATCTTGCCCTGGATCCTTGCAGTGTTAAGGGTCTGAAGTGACTTTGTCAGCATAAAGCTTGATTTTCAGAAAGAAGATAGGTTGCTCTGACTTGTGGATGTCACAGCATTAACACAAATGCATTGCAAAACATGGATGTTAATATTTCTAATGTATTTTCATAAGGATGTGGTACAAATAAATACATGATTAAGCTGCTTCTTTTTAGGGTACTGGATGCTTTCAGATGAGTGTTTGTTAATCATTATCCATTTAAAACTTAAATAACTTTACCTGCCAAAAGTTACTGTGCCTTTAGCATGGATAGTTAAAAGAAAAGGGTGCCTGTGTTTCCACTAGCATTTTAAGTTAAGGTGTGTTCTTGGAACCAAACAATAATCTCAAACAGAGACAGAATGGATGGGTGAATTAGTGGCTGTTCCACATTGTCTGGAGATTTGTTTCAAGGCACATGACTGAGAATTCATTTAATTCTTCAAGAATTCAGTTGTAGTGGCTTAAGTTGCATTGGTACCATGAAGACAAATTACATTTGAAAAATGGTGAAAATTAAATTCTTTTTAATATGAATTGGTGTGCTGTTAGAAATGAACCAACTTGCAAAATCAGAAAAAAAGGAAATGCTGGGGGCTATATTTAGATATTTCTATTGCTAATGTTTTAAGAGACTTTTGTCACGACTGCAAAATAAGTATGTATAGAGCTGCTTTAATAAAACTGTGTGCTTGGGGGCTGGATTTTCTTTAGAAGTTTAAAGGGACCAAATGCTGATGTTTAATCTTAGTCCAGAATGAAGGTATTGACAGTACAAAATGACATGGATATATGTATCAGAGTGAAAAAAAATTTTAAAACCCCAACGTTTTAAGACCATGTATTCCTTCTGTTGTTAATATAAAGTCTGATTTTGTTTGTACAGAGTTATTTGCTGAGATGCAAACAGTGAGTGATCAGCATATATAACAAGTCTTCAAGCTTAGTCTGCCTCCATCAACTTTTAATGTTAGATTTGTTGTATCTTAGAGGTGTTTCTATCCCTGAAAATTGATGACGTATTTTCAAAAATGTTTCAGAGCTTAGGAATTTATTGGTTATAATATAAAGAAAGAATGTATTTCTTTCTCTAGAACCTGATGATCTGCTTTTAAATGTGTTTCAGAGCTTGGGAGTTTATTGCTTGTAATGTAAAGAAAAGAGGGTCCTTGTTAGTTACAGTTCCAAGCCTTAAAGAATCACTCTCAAAGCTCCAGGTAAGTTTTTTCAGCCAGTTTTAGCGAACACGTTTTGTCACTTTCTGTGGAAGTGGCAGTTCTGTTCTGGAGGTTAGATGCTTGCCAGTGTTGTCATCAGAAAGGGTGTGTAATTCAAAGTGTAGACTAAAATGTGCAGGACTCTATATTCTTTTCCAGATTGACCACCAACAATCTTCTGTACTTTAACTGTTCCTACTCATAAAATGGAAAACCCAGTCTATATCAATAGACTCCATGAATCATTGCATTATCATGTGTGTTATTACCAAGACTTTAGCTGTGAAGTTACGAAAAATAACATTGTATAAGCTGTATAATTATGTAAATTTTGTGATAATAATTTTAGTCATGGATTCAGGCCAGAACTGTGACAGTACTCACTCCCCTTAAGACTACATCCTGGTATAGGTGTAGAACCTCAAAAGTACACATATATTTACAAGCTTATAGTTAGAGAAAACAATTCAAACTTTTACTTCTATTTGGCTTTACATTTGTGCATTGCCTTAAAATATGACAAACTGTTTCACTAAACAAGTGGGAAAAAGGAACATATTGAAGAAAGGACCATCCTTAATGGTATCCTATCTTCTTTTCTGCTGTCAGCATCAAGAGTGTTTCACAATATGCCATTATGAGCTATTAAAAGTACAGATGAGGAGAGATACGGTATCCCGGCTAGGCAAGTGACTCCTATCAGGTGCATTAGATCACTAACATAGCTTTAAATTGCAGTTGAAAACAAAAAGTATGACAGTGCAACTTTAAATGATGTTGAATATCCTCCGTTGCTGCTGTTCTGTTGTTCTCTGAGTATTTAATCACTTCTGACAGACCAGCTTTTGTTCTGCATCCATTCTGCAACAGGTCACTAGTAGCTTACAGTTGTTATGTGTCTGACAAATTATATGGGCTAGCTTTAGTTGGAATACAAAATGCTGATAATACATAACAAAGTTACTTATAAAGTGGCTTGTTAGCCAACAGTCTGCTTTGGAGAAGTTAAATCATTTGTTGCCATGTGCTGATGGATGAAATAGATCCTTGGCCCCAGGAGATGCAGTGATGTCACTTGATGTTTTCTTAATGTAGAGAGCAGTCACATACCAGCTGAGAACATCTTTGTAGTCTTATTCTGTATTCCCTAAACATAAACATAAAACAGGAAAGTAAGTGTGATTCTTCTGCAATACAGTTAGCTGTTCCCTCACTGCTTCTGTCAAAACGATGCCCTGAGATCAGGATGCTTGAGGCTTGTACACAAATGCAGTTAGAGAAGCAGTTGTAACTTACTAACAAAATATACAGACTACCAACTGAGATACTTTTTAAAATTTATCTTTATTACATTCCTATTTAAGTTAAATGGCATTTCCAGAAATGAATTTATCCAGTGCTGCATAATTTGCAGTGACTAATCTGTCTAATTATGCCTTGCTTTCCTAACGTTGTGCTGGCCTTACTCCTGTTGTGTTTCTCAGAATTGTGTTAATTTAATGATCTGTTTTCATTGTTTCAGACGGATATACAGCTCAGCCAATGGGTAGAAGAGGTGCAGCTAAACTATGATGTATATGTGGAAAAGGATGTTGACAGAGAAGCACTTGAACAAATACATTTATACAGAATTCTGTAGTACCTGGAAAAACTTATTAATATCCTTGCAATATCGTATATTTTGAGTCCAAAATGAATTCTGATTTATATCTATGAATAAATTGAGTAAAATTTGTTATTGTGGTTTTTAATGTATGAGTCTTTCTTTTGAAACAAGATTCCTTGTGGAAGCATTTAGTCTAACCAGAATATATTGACTTTTAACTAAAAGATACATTTTATTTTTAGTAGAAATGTTAGAAAGAGTGACTATTGACTGATGGCAAAAGAATTTTTGTTCCCTAGCATTATGCACTGCTAAAGTTTGCTGAATATATGAAACCTAAGACTGGCAAATCATTATTAATGGATGATAGCAATACATTTAACATAGTTACTTAAAAGCTGCATCTATTAAGATGTTTCTGTTTTGTTTTGTCAAAGACCAAACCAAAACTCTTTCTCCTATGGAATTCTTAGATTTTCTTTCCACGGTCTGCCAGATAACTTGAGCATTTTCTGGCATTAGTTAAGAGAAATTACTCCATCCATTTAGTTAATCCTTAAGGTAAGGATGTTAATGTGAAACACTGAAAGGGGTACCTAGGAGGCAGTGAGAATTAATACCACAAGTCTGGAACTGAAGAACACTGTTCCGTGCTCTGTGCTTCTAGGGATTATAGAAAGTATAATAAGGGGTTAAGAAGCTGAAAATTCTGAACAGGTGTCATGGCTTAGCAGAGGCTTGGTGATGGCGTAAAACATTGGAAATTCGTAACAGAGCCTCCTCAGAGAAAAAAGATCCACATACGCCCACCACATTTATATTTAGATTTTACATTCTAAGGATGTGAAGCTTTTAGTCAGCTGAAGAATGTTGCAGTTTTTGCCAAGCGTTGGCAATCAAGTGCAAAAATATTAACTTTGGGAGTTTTGGACTAGGTGTGTTGTGAAGTCAGAAACATTGTTAGAGTCTGAAAGTTTACTACGCAACTTAGGGCTAATGCAGATAGGAAGACTTCAGATTGGATTTTAGTTTTGAAATGATTTATTGGCCAGTGAACTTTATAATATATCTGACAGGCAAAAAGGAACAGTGGCCATTAGTCAGTCAGTAACAAAGAAGTTCAATGGTACTGGATAAATGACAATAAGTTTTAAGAAGCTGTATTTTTAGTGGTTTGTTTGGCATAGAGGAGGATGTTTAAACTTGAGTGATACTGAATCACAGCCCTAAAACATGACTGAATCTGTTCTTTATGCATTTAAGAACAAACTGGATTTACTTAAAGTATTTATTTTATTATAGTAAGTAAATTGTTGATTGCCTAATTGCCAAAGAGACAAATGTCGCTAGAAAGGGAACCTAGAGGAGGCTGTGCAGTAGCTGGGAGGTAATGCATGGCTAATAGATCTAGCAAGGAAAGAATAAAAAATGGGAAAAGAAATGCATGTGCAATTCAGAATGAGGAAATGAGACTGCAGTAATAATCAGTACAATACAGTGGAAGCTGTGACTGAATTTGGAGTGTGTAAATAGTCTACTATAAAAGGAAAACTGGCTGGGTGTTTAAAAGCTACTGCATAGCCCCATTGTCATGTGAGAGAAAGAGACTGTATTGGAATGTTTCTTACTTGTTTCAGAGGTCCTTCAAGATCTGCTCCCTAATCGGCTGCCAGGACTTCTGGTTCATGATACTGAATATAACCTGTGCCCTGCACCTTTGGTAATATAGGAATGATAGCTTTCATTGCAGTCATTTCCCTTCTTCATGCTGAGTCTTCAAATACTTTTTGGGTGTTGATCTCAGATTTAAAAAAAAAAACAACAAAAAAAAACAGTAGACTGGAGCAGATCACTAGCATATTTAATGACATCTGTATCCTCTGACTCTGGAAATAGCATGCACGCATCTGGAGCTCATATGTAATAAGGGTGCAACAGGGAAGAGCTACTCTTGTCTTTTTTAGACATCAGGAGAAAGTCAGAGGTGAGTTTAACTTGCTCAAATTTCTGTCTTCCTCTGCTGCCCTTAATAGGTCCTTGATTTAAACCCAGACATCCAAGTGTTTGCAGAGAAGTTTTGGTTAAAAATATTAAAAAATAAAACTTTTCAGTCCCTTCAGACATTTCTTCCTAACTTGACTTCATAGGGCCTGAGCTCATAGGGCCATTCTTAAGGTTGTTAGGTTAAATGAGGAAGACAAGCTCAAATAACTAGTGTGTGAGAGAGGGTGTTAATTGAATTTGTTCCTTTTCCAACTTGTCTGGCTCCTGTTAGTCCTGTATTCCCCTACACAGGAGTAGAAGAGTAAGATGTAAGGAGGTCTGCAAAGTTGGAAAAGGAGGAGGTTTGTGAGAAGTTGGAAAATCTGTCCTTTTGTACATTTGGTCAGCCTGGGATGTCAGCAGAAATTCACCTAAGAGTATCTATATTGCCTCAGCTCGGGTTTTGCTTGTTTGGCCCTCAGAATCTGCATGTCTATCCAGTGGGCCGAGTCCCCATTCATGGTTCCGCTGCTGCTGTACAGCGTGCTCCTTGGCAGACAATTCAACCTTTCTCTGCCTTACTGTCTATGGTGAAAATAGGAGTAAAAGTCCAAAATCAAAGCAAGGTGCTTGTTGGAATCATCAGGAATTTCTGACGCACAGAGAAAGCCACTCCACTCTTCCCTGCAGCATGCTGTACTTTGTCTTCTGCAGAATGAGCTATCTGAAGTTCAGAACTATTGAGAATTACTTGAGTAAACCGAAGAAGGTGTTTGGGACCCATGGTAATAGGGCAAAAGCTGTCGAGCGTTAAGAATAGTATATTCACAAACTGAAAACGTTGCAGATAGATTCACTCAGAATCATGCCATCAAATGCCTGCTGTGGGCAGCCTGGTTGTCAAAGGTGTCATTTTCCATGTGTGCTTTTTCCCAGTAAGTGGTATTGGAAGAGTATAATGACACATGCTTGGGAAAACTTGACAGTGAGACAAGCTTGAAAAAAAATCCACCTCCTCAATTTCTCATCATCTGTGTTCTCTCCTTTTCTCTTTAGGTTTCTTTTATCTCCTGTCTCTTTTAAACTGTGTTCTCCCTCTCTACTCCCAGGGCCAGGACCAGGCAGTAGTGCAGCAGGAGGCAAGCAGGAGCTCTGCAGGAGTGACAGCAACAGAGCCAGCCACTTTAGCTGAGCAGCTTCTCAGGGTCAATACTGACTGGAAAGATGATGGAAGCACTTATAAAGGGCTGCTTCACACCCTCCAGGAATTCCTGTCAGGACCTCCAAAGAAATGTGCAGAACCGTTAAAAAAATGATGCTTGTGTGGCCTCAGGGATGAGTCTGTTCTGACAGGAGTGAAGCAGCACTGTGCTGAAGGTTTGGAGCTTATCATCCCAAGAGTCCACTGTGCCTTGTAATGTAGGAGCCCCCCACTTGATGGAGTCATTTCCCACGTGCCTCTTTCAGGAATGCTGACAAACAGATCTTAAAAATTCAGAACCAGGAGTTGCCTGCTTGCTCTAAGTTTTTCCTAGTGAGCATTTGGAATTCCCCCACTCCTGGCTGCATGACATCCCAGCCCCTCTTGCAGCTGTGGTAGTCCTTTACCTGGAGACCATATCTCAGAGACTTTTTGATTCATTCATCTCTGATGATCCCTCTACATTAAGGGAGAAAAAAAAAAAATGGAGGAAAACAGTCTTCATTTGCCATAGTAGGATGCAGCAGAGTCCTGAGCTCTGCCTCGTCTGTCCCTTTTTGTGTGAGAAAGATTCTGAGGGTTCTGCCTCTCCGCTATCTGCCCCAGACTGAACCAAGGGGATGCTTGGGCAGAAGGCTTCTGTCCTCCAGCATTTCTGCTTTGCTGTGTTCCCCAGGTTTGCTGGAGCATTGAAGGCAGCTAACCCAAACTGTCAGCCTGGACTAGGAATAGCAGGAAGGAGGAGAGTCGGCAGGAGATTTCATGCCAAAATTTGAAGCGAGATATTCCACCAGAGTTGCTGGCAGCCCAAACACAGAGCAGGCTCTGATTGTTTGCAGCATTGTGTGAGCATGTGCATTGTGTGTATATATATACACATATCCAAGTACAAATTGAGATTCTGTTCATCTTCAAGAGTCTGCTATGTACATGGGGAAAGGTAGAAGAAAGGAAGCATTTCCTGTCTTACAGAAAGGCACTGAATTGAGGGTAGTCACTGATTGTGTAAATGTAATTGCACACACGTGGTCTGCTGTAGTATTGGTGAGTGCACTTTTGTGGTCAGTAACTGACTTACAATTTTAAGCATGAAAATATCCACATTGCTGCTAAAAGAAACAGTTTCTATATTTAAAATGACATTAAGGAGATGAATAATCCACGATGGAGGGAGGAGGGAAGAGGAACATCACTGACAGCTTCCTGGCAAAGCATTTAAGACACTGGAAAACAGACACCGAGATGATATGTGGATAAACCTAGCAAGAACATGGTGTAATGAAGGGAAGAATTTGGGTGGAGCTGCCTGCTTCCCTTCCAACCACTTGAACAAAGAAAGAAATAAAGGAAGAATAATTGTATTAGTAGTGAGTTCAATGGAAAGCTGAAAACGTGAATCTTAGTGTCTGAAGAGTCAACTTAGTGTGATGTTGCAAAAGCACTTGCCCACTAACAAGGGCTAGGTGTCAGCAAGCACTATTCTGTACCTGATGGCACGCGCCTGAGTATTTTCTTTTTGACCCCACTTAAGGTATGCAAGCAGAAGATATACATGAACTGCTAAATTTTCATGGTAATTCTGAAGTCACCCATAACCCAAAGAAGTGCCAGGCAGTGACTGGGTCGTAGGAAAATGTCAGGGGTTTTGTAACCACAGATACTGCACATGTAAGTACATGTGGTGCTACAGCACTGCAAGCCTGTCAATCTGATACTTATTGCAATTAGCGAGGAGCTCCACTGCCTATTTAAAATCCATGTTTTGTAGACTGACTCCCTCCATTTCAGTGTCATAAAGGTGTCAGCCAACATTTCCGAAGCTGCGCTAAGACTTCTATGGAAGAGAAGACTCCAAAGTACGTACAGCTTTTGGCCCTCCCTCAGGAAAAGGCTGATTGTGGAGTGCACTGCATGTTGTTGGGCTTTTTGCATTTTTTAATGAATCA